GCAGTCCCACCCAGCTTGGTGTCATCTGCAAACTTACTGAGAGAGCACTCAATCCCCACATCGAGATCATTGATACAGATGTTAAATAAGTCTGGACCCAAAACTGAGCCCTGGGGGACACCACTTGTGACTGGCCACCAGCTGGGTTTGACTCCATTCACCACCACTCTCTGCACTTTGCCATATTTAGCATTCATATTTAGTATTATGGGGAAGGAAAAAACAAATTAAGTACCTGAACCAGAGATAGCATAGTGTTTTGGGAGAAACTATGAGCATGAAGAGTTTGGGGCGGGAGGAATCACAGAAGACTTTCCAGTCCCACACTTTAAGAGGCCAGACTCCTGATCCAGTCCTGTTTACATCGGTACCAGCAGAACTTTACTGAAGGACAGAGTAAAACTAGAAAAAGGCAAAAACCAGAATCCATGTTTTAGGGTTGGTTTGTTTGGGGTTTTTTTGGCATGGGGAGAACAGGGTACACTGAGGTCAGGGAAGACAGATCAGAAGTGGTGTCGAGAAAGTGAAAAGGGAGCAGCTTTTCCCTTGTGCTCACAGTCCAAGAAGGAGGGGACGTCAGCTGGAAATTTGAGGTGTACAGACAAATGGTGATACTGACACAGAACACACGAGCAAGCTCTGCAGGTCACTGCAGTGGCCCACCTTGGGCAGCAGGAGGAGAAACGGGCTCAAAAAGAAATTGTCAGACACATGGACTATCGAGCATAAAGGCAGAGATGCCAGTTGCTGCTCAGGTAGCTTGTAAGCCTTAGGTGGAAGTTTGGGATACCAGTGGAAACTTTGTTTTATATCTCATGCTGTTTTTATCCTTGTGTTTTGTAAGCTACTGCCACAGTCGGAGACAGGTTGCTGGGCTAGGTGCACAACTGATCTGAGCTGCTCCACTCAAGTCTGGAGAGAGTTAAAATATATATGCATATATTATCTGTGTTTGTATGTACATATGTGTATATTATATATTATATATATTATTGAGGTGGATTGATAACTGGCTGAATGGCAGAACTCAGAGGGTTGTCATCAG